TTTTAAATAAGTGCGTAGAAATAAATTTTATGTGCATTTTAGATTTTTAATAAACTTTATTATTATTTGATCTTAAATAAGTGTGCAAAAAAAATTTATTATAGATTACAAATAATTCAATTGTGCAAAACATTAGATTATTTGAATTCCTGCCAAGCTAAAGTAATAATTCTTGACGTTGAGTGTGCCATTGTTTTTACTTAATTTCTTGAATTTCAATAATTAGTCCTAATTAGTGAATAACGTTAAATACTAATAAAAGAATTGTGCTAAACTACTAAACTTCTTAGTTTTGTTACATTAACTTCATATTTCGATGGTAAACTATTTCACTGATTTAATCACTAATTTCTTTGAATTCTAGTCTTGTAACTAATTGTTTTGAAATAAAAGTGTAAAGATAAATTTTATGAAATAAATAATATAACTGTGCCAATATTGAATTATTCGGTTTTATTATACAAAAGTAATAATTCTTGAGTTATATTAAGTTTACTCCTTAAAAAATAATTCCTTAATTTTCAATAACTAATTTTAATTTCGAATAAGGTTAAGTGTAGATAGAAACCTTAATATTATTATGCAACCGATAAATTCTAGATAAAAACAATACAAGTATTCTAAACATACTTAAGACGTAAAAATTTCGGTAATCAACGCCTTGCAAGATTAGCGTATAATTAGGCATTCAAATCACACTTGGGGATAATTTTCGGAGCTAAGTTAGAACTAGGGGCTTAAGTGGATATTAGGAGAGCAAGTAAAAAGACCAAATTACCCTCACGACCTCACAAAATATCCATGCAACCACCAAAACCAAACTTTTGGACAACCTTACACTCCACCCCACCTTCGGCCAATGCAGAAATTATCCAATTCTACACTCCATCTCCAATCTAAAACCGCAACACCACTCCTCTCTTCTCCACAATACAACCGCAACCTCACATCAGATTCACTACACCCCAACTCCACCTCGTGCATATCGAAAAACAGAGAGAGAGGGAGAACAGATCCATCCGGGAGCAAAGAAGAAATGTATATATGAATAAAAAATATCTCCTTAAGCAATAAACAAATTGCTGGCCATTTAGTGTCAAAAATCAATCATATGCAATGCTTATTGTGACATATATCTTGCACTCTCACTGCTGAAAATTTCTCTAGAAAAGAATGTTCCTATTATACATAATTAATTACTAGCATAGGATGAGCAGGATGAGGTTTTATTTTATTTTGAATATACTAGGGGGAGGGTTGGGTTGGATTGGGTGGTACGGGGGAGGGAGTGTAAGGAAGAGGTCTTGGGTTCGAATCCTCCTGTTTACACTAAAAAAAAAAAAGAACATACTACAAAATGTTTTCAGTAAGTTTGGAACATACTACAGGCGGGATGCATGCATTTCGAAAAACAACTTCAGTAAGTTTGAAAGGGAAGTTGTTTTCCATAAGATGAGTGAAAATATTTTACATAGGAAAATGTTTTCAGTAACTTTTGTGCAACCAAACACGGGAAATTAGGAAAATATTTTCCTGGAAAACATTTTCACCCGAAACAAACGGACCCTTAATTGCTGGAAAATTTGGATAGCCGAGAAGTGTAGCAGAAAATTTCTTTCAATTGCCTCTCGAATTTACAAGTTGTTGCTGGAAATTACTCTTGGAAATACATGGAAAATGTAACGCTAATGATTGTGGTTTGACCTTATAATGATAATAAATTTGCATCTCGTTCCTGAAATTAATTTTCTTTTCTATCGAAGCATAATGTGCTGAAATTGTTGACGGTGGGCTCTATGAATTCCCACCTTTGGATTGTTGGTTGATTATTTTATTTTACTCAGAGATGCACTTGTTGAAAACGAGGGCTAATGATTGACGAATCCCTAGTAATTTGCTATGTGATTATTTGCTATATTTTAATCCATATTTTGACTTCGAAACGGAATCGGAGCTGTGGAAATTTGTATCGACCTTGCGAACTCGAGTAGCTGCGTTCAAAATTAACCAGAAATATTTTTCAGCTAGTATTATATTATAAAACCCTATACCTAGTGTTTTGCCTAAAAGTTTCCAACTCGATATTTACCCTTAGCTCAATCTAGCCTTGATAGCTATAGTAAATAAGTTATATATAGCTTTTGGAAAATCTAAGTCTTACCTTAATTCTTTTCTTTCTTTAAGCTTTGCACTTGGATAGTTAACTATCGGAAAATGTCTAAAATACGAGCTTCACCAATTTTAGTGAAAAGCTTGGGAGACTTACTTGGCAAGAAAACTTACTTTAAATAAAATAATACTAGCCGCACTCCTATAAAGAAAAGTATTTAAAGGAAAGCCATGTAAAACATTTCCTACTTTTACTAACCCTTAATCCTTAGTGGATTGTCGAATTATTTCGAGAGAATAAACCATTTATAAACTAGAGAATCTTTTATACTTATAAACCTAGAACTTGAATAGAAATTGAAAATGTTATATTTGTACTTTAAAGGTCAAACTTGATTTTAATAATTCACGCAGAAAACTTGTTTGGCAAGAAACCTTATTCAAAGCAAATTGGTTCTGGTTTGCACCTCTAGAAAGAAAGAAATCCTTGAAGTATTTTATCACCTTCACTAGTTTAACTCTAGGGAAATTGTTAATTTATTTGGAGTAGATAAACTAGTTATATACCAGATAACTTTGTATTTATAAACCAAGAACCGTACAACAACACTTATAGTTTTAAATTTTGGATTTCTAGGGTATAGCGAGGACGCGAAATTTTGAATCCCAGCTTGAACTCTGAACTTCACTTTTGGTGAGTGTCTCTGCTTGTTCTATGCCTACTTGATTAAAGTGCTTTCTTGATTTGATATGTGATAATTGGAAAAAAAATGGTTTTCTGATCCATCGAAGTGGGCAGTGTGTACTTTATCGCACTAGCTCTTTCGAGTGGTGACTTGCTTGAAATATTTTCGTAAATATCCTGCTTGCACTATCTACAGTGCTGGACGTAAAGTCATTGGGTGAATCCCTCGATCAGTCTATAATAATCAAGTGCTGGACGTAAAGTCGTTGGGTGAATCCCTCGATCAGTCTATAATAATCAAGCGGTGGACGTAAAGTCGTTGAGTGTTGGACGTAATGTCGTTGGGTGAATCCCTCGACCAGTCTAAGGTATACTCGAATATTATTGCTTCCCTATTTGTTTACTTCAGTCGAATCAATACGTGTTAATTGTTTCAAGTGATTGCATGATTTTGAGGCACCACTGAGCGTTAGCTCACCCCACGTTTATTTGTTTTCCTTGACAGGTACTGAGGTTTGAGAAATCTGAGCTACTTATATCTTCTTAAGAATGTATCTACTTCGTTTTGTGGCTTGTAATGTATTTGAATTAAACGATACAGTTTTGTTTTGGGATTGCCACTTGAAGCTGGAAAAGTGTAAACCCTGATTATAATATTTGGCTTGTATGTGTATATATACTCGGGCTGTATGAAATTTTATGTTTTGGAAACTATAAGACTTTACTTCTTGAATGTAATGCGTGAGGTGTTTAGGAGCCGCCAATTGGCTAACTTCGGATGCTGTTATCTTTGAAGATAATGTGTTTTAGTATTCAAGCCGCTTAAAAGTTGGCATGTTCGGATGGCGAATTGTGTTTTGGTTTAAGTTATACGTGGATATTTGGTCGGTTTGCTTGCGTGAGTCCTGGCGAGAGCTAGGCAGGCGACCCGCCAACCCTCTGGTTCGCCTTAGGGAGAAGTGGGGTCGTCACAGGTGGTATCAGAGCTTTTATCGAGCTCAAACCGGGAAAAGGTTCTCGGACTGTGGGGATTGGCTTGTTAAGTGTGGAACAAAAGTCTATAGTTGAGGATATTAGATATGTATGTTGGGTAGGAATCTCCAATATAGGTGATTCATGCTTGGGACTGGCCAGCTTGAGTTGTGAATCATCTTATTTTCGGATTCTTGTACCCGAGTACCCAATATTACCTTTAAGGGAGTATTTGCGAATTAGGAAGAATTTAGTATATTGCATTATGACGCGATCCGGAAGCAGGATGTAATTTGAAGAAATAGAGTTAAAGGGACCAAGGCTAACTTTTGAAAGTTAAAAGTGAAGAACCAGTAGTGAGATCTTGAACAATTTTAGTAGCCTTCGATGGTAAGTAGATGATATGCCAACTCCCGCTTAAAAATACGGTTTTCTGACCTGAAACTGAGTGAAATAGTTGTTTAAGGATCAGGTGTATCCTTCCGGCAGTGTGTTATAGGGTATCAAATGGCTAGACACTGTGACTGTCCAAGAACTTACTCCTATCTGGAGCGAGTGATATGAGTTTAGATGGGTTTAAAGACAGAGGCTAATAATAGCAAATGAGAGAGTTCATATTAGAATATAGAAATGAGGAAATCCATAGGGATGCGACGTGATAGGAATTCTAGAGTTCGAGACTAATATAATAAAGGAATCTATGGAAGCGGAATCGGAAGAATGAGTGAGGTATAGTGGGATTGTCGAGGACTAAACTAATGAAGGTTAAGTTGAATCTAAACTAAGGGTTGAGCTATTAGCTATGTGGATATAATAATTGGTGTATTATTGAATTGTTTTCCTTCATGTTTATAAAGATCGAAATTTGAGTTATGTATGAAAATATTGAATGTAACCGTGAATTGTTTGGCTTTTAAAGTTGTATGAACCTTGGTATGTGAATATATGCTTTAAGTGTTTTATTTTCTTTTCTTGGTATTCATGTTGACTTCACTTAATAATAACAAGTAAATAAATAGCAACATCTTCGCTTGATTACTTTATTTTTATCAATAGGCATAACTAGGCTATGGATCTCCAAGTTAGAGGTAGAGGACGTGGGAGACCAATTAGGCAACACCCCGAGGGTGGTGGTGATAGGGAACCTGAGGTCAACTCAGACCATGGTTAGGGAAACGTGGCCGGAGATCCAGTGGCCACCGTAATCAATAGAATAACTGATGTGTTAGAACGCATGACTGAGCACCAAGCTCATGGAGTAGTGCATCAGCAAGGAGGCCCAATCGATTCTGAGGATCGGGCATTAGAGAGATTCCTGAAGTTTGGACCTCCTAAGTTCTACGGAGGCCCAGAACCTGAGGTAGCCGAAGGTTGGTGGGAAAGGATCTCTGATATTTTTGCCGCTTTAAATTATACGGAAGAAAGGCAAGTGACTTTTGCGGCATTCCAGTTTGAGGGAGTTGTTCGTTCCTGGTGGAACTTGATTAGGGTCAATTGGGACCGGAATCATACTCCTAGGACCTGGGCGAACTTCACAAGGGAATTCAACGCCAAATTTCTTCCTCCTCTCATCCAAGAGAAAAGAGAGGATGATTTCATCAAGTGTAGGCAGGGGGCGATGAGTGTCGCTGAATATGAGGTTCAATTCACGAAATTATCCCGTTATGCTCCGGAATTGGTAGCTACGGAGCAAAGGCGTGTAAGGAGATTTGTTCAGGGACTGAACGTAGAAATACAGGAAGGATTAGCTGCCGTGCGGATAGACACGTTTGCCGACGCTGTCGAAGGAGCCCAACGAGTGGAAGTAGCCAAAGCCCAAGTGAAATCTTTTCAAGCTAAGAAAAGATTTGCCTCTAGCAGTAGTCGGGAGCCGACTTATGGAAATACCCCACCAGCCAAAATAGGTCGAGGAACAAGCGGAATGAATAGCCCTGGAGTACCACGAGGAACTCTAGCAGGAGGAGCTGGGGCAAGAAATGCAGGGGGACCAAATGGAAGAGGTCAACCTAGGAACGGCTCACAAGGAAGTCGTGTGATAACTTTCTTGGGAACTTGTGGGTATTGCAAGAAACCTGGACATACAGAGGCCGGTTGCTGGAAGAAAGAAGGAAAGTGCTTGAAGTGTGGAAGCAGCGAGCACCAAATTGCCGGTTGCCCGAAAATACAAGAAGATGATACCCTGAACGCTGGACCAACCAATTCTAGAGGGAATAGGCCAAAAGTTCCTGCCAGGGTTTACGCTATAGATGACCAACCTGTACCTTATTCCTCGGAACTCGTGGAAGGTACTCTTCCCATTTCTCACCAATTAGCTAGAGTGTTAATTGATCCTGGTGCAACTCATTCATTTGTGAACCCAACTTTTACGTCCGAAATTAATGTCAAACCTGTTAGATTACCTTTGACCTTGAAGTTAAAACACCAATGGGTAATAAGAATATAATCAGTAGCTTAACTCATAATAATTACGAATTCTGGATAGGAGGGCATAAAATACTAGTGGATCTAATCAGAATGGATATAAAAGGTTATGATGTTATTATAGGAATGAATTTTCTAACTCATCATCATGCTAAGCTTGATTTCAGAGCAAAAGTGTTAGAATTTTGGATTTCCGGAGAAGCGACTTGGGAGTTAGAAGAAGAAATGTAGAAAAAGTATTCCGATTTGTTTCTCTAGAGAATGTGGGAATTTTGAGGACAAAATTCATTTTAAGGAGGGGAGGATGTGAGAACCCTGAAAAAAAAATATATATATAAATATTAGTGCGTATTTCGTTTGCATCTTTAATTCTTTAATAAATTATAGCAGTAAATCTAATTGTTTTTAAATAAGTGCGTAGAAATAAATTTTATGTGCATTTTAGATTTTTAATAAACTTTATTATTATTTGATCTTAAATAAGTGTGCAAAAATAATTTATTATAGATTACAAATAATTCAATTGTGCAAAACATTAGATTATTTGAATTCCTGCCAAGCTAAAGTAATAATTCTTGACGTTGAGTGTGCCATTGTTTTTACTTAATTTCTTGAATTTCAATAATTAGTCCTAATTAGTGAATAACGTTAAATACTAATAAAAGAATTGTGCTAAACTACTAAACTTAGTTTTGTTACATTAACTTCATATTTCGATGGTAAACTATTTCACTGATTTAATCACTAATTTCTTTGAATTCTAGTCTTGTAACTAATTGTTTTGAAATAAAAGTGTAAAGATAAATTTTATGAAATAAATAATATAACTGTGCCAATATTGAATTATTCGGTTTTATTATACAAAAGTAATAATTCTTGAGTTATATTAAGTTTACTCCTTAAAAAATAATTCCTTAATTTTCAATAACTAATTTTAATTTCGAATAAGGTTAAGTGTAGATAGAAACCTTAATATTATTATGCAACCGATAAATTCTAGATAAAAACAATACAAGTATTCTAAACATACTTAAGACGTAAAAATTTCGGTAATCAACGCCTTGCAAGATTAGCGTATAATTAGGCGTTCAAATCACACTTGGGGATAATTTTCGGAGCTAAGTTAGAACTAGGGGCTTAAGTGGATATTAGGAGAGCAAGTAAAAAGACCAAATTACCCTCACGACCTCACAAAATATCCATGCAACCACCAAAACCAAACTTTTGGACAACCTTACGTCGCCACCCCACCTTCGGCCAATGCAGAAATTATCCAATTCTACACTCCATCTCCAATCTAAAACCGCAACACCACTCCTCTCTTCTCCACAATACAACCGCAACCTCACATCAGATTCACTACACCCCAACTCCACCTCGTGCATATCGAAAAACAGAGAGAGAGGGAGAACAGATCCATCCGGGAGCAAAGAAGAAAAAAAAAATTTGAGAGCTGCAACATTGTGTCCAACCCCGAGCTGCTGTTGCCGTTCTTGACCGTGGGTCTGAGGAAGAAAAGGAGGAAGCCCGAGAACCCATCAACCATTCTGCACCTCTCCCTCACCAGCTACAACCATCTTTGCCAGCCGAAACAACCCTGCAACACCAAAACCTGGATCAACTTCTGAACGCGTGAGCTAGCCGAGAGGGAGAACAGGAAATTTTCCAGTTTCTTGTGAGTGAGTTGAGCGATCAACTGAGGTAAATTTCGGACCTACAACAACTAATTAGAGGTAGTGGCCTTGCATGTGAGGAGTTAGTGTAAGATAATGAAATAAGAAAAGGAAAAAAATTCTGATGTTAGCAAAACTGGACTGCCGAGGATTGATTTGGACAATGCAGCTTCACTTGGCTCCAGTTTGTTGTTCTGGAACTTATAGCTATGATTAGCTAAAAGGAGATGAAGCTATCTATTGATATGCATGTGATGTTGTGAAGTCGGATGTTGAACTGAAGCAAAAGAAAATCTGACTTGGAAGAAAATGAAATGGACGTAGGCCGACTCAGAATTTCAGACTTAATCTTGCTTAATTAAAGTAATCTGGGCATGCGTGGATGTTTTATCTGACTAATCACTAGTTTCTTAACTGGAATATAGCCATGCATGCTGATTTGGTGCGAATAGATGATGAAACAAAGATTTGGGGAAATTTCTGGTTTAAGGAAAACAGAATGTCCGTGGGCTGAAATTTGATAATGCAACTTTAATCTGCTAAATTGACATAAACCGAGCTTATGTTGGGAATTAATGAACTAATTACTAGCTAATTAAACTGTTTACCACCTTGCATGTCCATGTTAGATCCTCGGATGATGAATTTAGGAACAAAGAAATTCTGTTATGCGCAACAAGAAATTTTCTTAGCTCTGCCGAGACCGACTCCAGAAATGTTGTCCCTGATCTGGTTGATTTTGACAATGTGAAATTATAATCATGATTAGCTAACTGAAAAGTGGATTGTAGCCTTGCATGCCCATCTTACGCACTTGGATGTTGAGTTAAGAAGCACAAGAAAAATTCTGTTTTGAGAAAAAGAAATGCTGTGAGCTGGAAATACGATACTGCAATTTGATTTAAATTGATTTTGCTGTGTTGAGCTTAAATTCATGATTAACCAGCTAATGACAAGTTAACTAGGCTTTGCATGTAGTTAAGTAACAGAATTAAACCGGATAACCAAGGAAACAAAGTGAAAACAGAATTTTGTCTCATGCATGACCATCCAAGACTAATGATATAAATTCCGGATTCTAAGGATGTTGTAGTTGGTAATCTCATCCGAAGTTTGAGCTAGAAACGTTAATCAAGTGGTTAAGTGTTTGCTTGTTCAAGTTGAACACCTAATTCCATGTGTGACCAAAAGAAAAGTTGAATTGGGACTAACGAATTGCTGGAAAATTTTGATTTCCGATCATGCATGTAAAGCTGGAAATTTTGAGGCTTACACATATTATTCAAGCTTGATCCATAAGCTGGAAATGTTTGTCGGTTAATTTCGTAAGTGCATGTTGATATCGAGAGCCTAATAATATATTTTGAATAAGGAAATGTTGGAATCATGAACTCTTAATTGCTGGAAAATTTGGATAGCCGAGAAGTGTAGCAGAAAATTTCTTTCAATTGCCTCTCGAATTTACAAGTTGTTGCTGGAAATTACTCTTGGAAATACATGGAAAATGTAACGCTAATGATTGTGGTTTGACCTTATAATGATAATAAATTTGCATCTCGTTCCTGAAATTAATTTTTTTTTCTATCGAAGCATAATGTGCTGAAATTGTTGACGGTGGGCTCTATGAATTCCCACCTTTGGATTGTTGGTTGATTATTTTATTTTACTCAGAGATGCACTTGTTGAAAACGAGGGCTAATGATTGACGAAACCCTAGTAATTTGCTATGTGATTATTTGCTATATTTTAATCCATATTTTGACTTCGAAACGGAATCGGAGCTGTGAAAATTTGTATCGACCTTGCGAACTCGAGTAGCTGCGTTCAAAATTAACCAGAAATATTTTTCAGCTAGTATTATATTATAAAACCCTATACCTAGTGTTTTGCCTAAAAGTTTCCAACTCGATATTTACCCTTAGCTCAATCTAGCCTTGATAGCTATAGTAAATAAGTTATATATAGCTTTTGGAAAATCTAAGTCTTACCTTAATTCTTTTCTTTCTTTAAGCTTTGCACTTGGATAGTTAACTATAGGAAAAGGTCTAAAATACGAGCTTCACCAATTTTAGTGAAAAGCTTGGGAGACTTACTTGGCAAGAAAACTTACTTTAAATAAAATAATACTAGCCGCACTCCTATAAAGAAAAGTATTTAAAGGAAAGCCATGTAAAACATTTCCTACTTTTACTAACCCTTAATCCTTAGTGGATTGTCGAATTATTTCGAGAGAATAAACCATTTATAAACTAGAGAATCTTTTATACTTATAAACCTAGAACTTGAATAGAAATTGAAAATGTTATATTTGTACTTTAAAGGTCAAACTTGATTTTAATAATTCACGCAGAAAACTTGTTTGGCAAGAAACCTTATTCAAAGCAAATTGGTTCTGGTTTGCACCTCTAGAAAGAAAGAAATCCTTGAAGTATTTTATCACCTTCACTAGTTTAACTCTAGGGAAATTGTTAATTTATTTGGAGTAGATAAACTAGTTATATACCAGATAACTTTGTATTTATAAACCAAGAACCGTACAACAACACTTATAGTTTTAAATTCTGGATTTCTAGGGTATAGCGAGGACGCGGAATTTTGAATCCCAGCTTGAACTCTGAACTTCACTTTTGGTGAGTGTCTCTGCTTGTTCTATGCCTACTTGATTAAAGTGTTTTCTTGATTTGATATGTGATAATTGGAAAAAAAATGGTTTTCTGATCCATCGAAGTGGGCAGTGTGTACTTTATCGCACTAGCTCTTTCGAGTGGTGACTTGCTTGAAATATTTTCGTAAATATCCTGCTTGCACTATCTACAGTGCTGGACGTAAAGTCGTTGGGTGAATCCCTCGATCAGTCTATAATAATCAAGTGCTGGACGTAAAGTCGTTGGGTGAATCCCTCGATCAGTCTATAATAATCAAGCGGTGGACGTAAAGTCGTTGGGTGAATCCCTCGACCAGTCTATAAATATAAGTGTTGGACGTAATGTCGTTGGGTGAATCCCTCGACCAGTCTAAGGTATACTCGAATATTATTGCTTCCCTATTTGTTTACTTCAGTCGAATCAATACGTGTTAATTGTTTCAAGTGATTGCATGATTTTGAGGCACCACTGAGCGTTAGCTCACCCCACGTTTATTTGTTTTCCTTGACAGGTACTGAGGTTTGAGAAATCTGAGCTACTTATATCTTCTTAAGAATGTATCTACTTCGTTTTGTGGCTTGTAATGTATTTCAATTAAAAGATACAGTTTTGTTTTGGGATTGCCACTTGAAGCTGGAAAAGTGTAAACCCTGATTATAATATTTGGCTTGTATGTGTATATATACTCGGGCTGTATGAAATTT